TTTTCTAGTTCAGTTGAATTCATTGCAGGTGACAATACATAACGGCCGACCATTTGTTAACAGTAATTAGATAGTGATTGTTATATCAGGTAGTGAATGTATTTTGGGAGAGCCATGTTTCGGTACGAATGGGCCGGCTTGACCAGATTGATACCACGGCTTTATAGAAAACTGGCGTGAAACAACGTTTGCGTCATAGATATAATAAAATATTTATCTGGCTTGCGTTATGTTTCGCAGTGTGAGTGATATTATTATCTTACATCCAAATCAAAAAATAAAAATAATAATTGCCTTAAACAAAGATAAATAAACAATCACCGGTCATAAGTGGTAAAGTTTGAAATTATTCGGCAATCTGTACCCATCTAAAAAGTACTGCAGTAAAAACTCAATCACAAGGAAGAAACATATATCTTATTGATAAAAGGGATTGACTGTTTATTAATGTGTAACCAAATGTTAATACACGAAATTTCGTAGAAGCTCGTAGGCGCAGTAGGCGTATAGCATACGTTTCGTAGCACATACTCGTAGCAAGATTAGTAGTAGGTGTGTTCTGACAATGTACCAAACAACTTAAGGCTCTCATTGATACGCCTAATTCAGAATTTTACTGTTTAGTACTTAAGATAGAAGTATACCAAAAGAGTATTTTAATTTACAGGTGGAGTATGCAAATATTATATATTTTTACATTTTAATTACAATAAATAAGAATTAGGTAAATATGTGTGAGATTTACCCAAAATCATATTTTGTATGGTAGAGGCAATAGTTGATGGTACCTACAAGTTTTTATCACATTTATAGAGGTCTAATATTAAATCTCGACAAAGAAATCTTACCTCTGAGTCAAAGGCCCAGTTTTCAGTAAGGCACAGGGCACTAATGCTCTTAGTGCATTCAGGTCGGCGTACTTAAGAGTATTAGACGCTAAGAAGCCTAGCACTACATCACTCAATCCTGTTAGCGCGTGCGCTGCTAACACTGTTATTACTGTAACATTATATTCTTAGGATTAAAATAATATGCAGACGTAAGCGACTGGGTTGTTGGGAGGCTTGCTAAGGTATAAGTTGTGCGTTTTCAGGTAATTTTGTACTGTTCTGTAAGGTATTATTTAGCAAATTAGCATAGTTTTAGACACAGAGATTCTCCCATTTGTCTGAATAAATTATAATGAAACAAAGTGCTAGTATTTCAATTCTCAAGACTATATGAAAATTTTTAAATCGAGAAATGAATTAATTATGTAAGGAATGTTAAAGTAAAGGTAAAATAATTAATGGCAAAGAAATTAATTAACTTGTCGGTAAATAGGTAGGTTGTTGTTGTTGTTATACATATTTGTTTAGACTGTAAAAGAGTTTCTTTTAGCATTTCTTCTCAGAGTAGTCAGTCAGTTAGGAAATGTCGGCCTCATCGTTCGCTCAATAAAATTGACGTGTAAAAGTGCTGCCTTGTAGCCTATTTGTAGAAATGAATTCACTTGTTGAAATACAAAACGTAGACATTTTTATACAAGATCAAAGTTGCTCTCATTTAAACCAAAAAGTCCAAGCGGAATACAATTCTGCAAACATATCTACAAAAGCGCAGATCTTATTGTGCGAGTACAACGCATGTGTACTTGTGTAGGTACATCGATACCCATATAATGTTTACTGCATGGCGAACGTGGTTTGAACAACACATTGTTAGCAATCAGGAGGTTAGCCCCGGATAATCCGGGCTATTGTTAGCTATTTTAATGCTTATGCCCTTTGTATGTGTCCTGTATTAAGTCATACGCGGATAATCGCTGTATTATGTAGAGTTAATTTTCCATTGGCTCGTTCATAGGGATTGGCAGCTGCTTACCGTCGCAGTGAATCAAACTGGCGACATTTATGCAGTCAAATAATACATGTATTATTTACATGTACATATTCAATGTGTTGTCACACGGCGCGTTCTAGTTAATTCCACTGAAATAAATGACGAACCTATATTTTATTCATTCGACATTGCTGGATGCTGTCCTTTTAATATTTTAGTATTTGCGCGTTCCATATTTAATTGATTTTGTGGGTACCTACCTATATCCATCTAACGAACGATATTACCCATTATAATCGAATAGACATTAAAGAAGAGAAAAACCGGTGCTAAATAAGCTTCTATTTTTGAGTTATCGTATTGTAAACAAATTTAAAATTGTTTACATTGATCTGGTCGAAAAATCACGGCGGTTTTTACGGGTAATCTTGACTTACTGTCACGCATCGTCGAGTGACCAATATTTGTCGGAATAGAACACCGTAAAGATGTTTCCGGTTCGTAAAAGTATCATATTAACTGTTCAAACATTGGATGGGAGGTTTTATCGCTGGCAGCTGGGCGACACGACTAATTACATCAATTACAGGCAAACAGAGGTGCGCTCGGGTTTCGCTCCCACCTTTGTCAATATTTGGCGAGCGACCGCAGCTCCTCCCCGCCTCGAATGGACACTCGTCTACGCAACGACACACAACTCTGGACATTCCATTATTAATGCACAAGGTCATTCCTACACGGCTAATGGAGAACTTTTCAAAACAAAACAGCATTAGATACTACGCATCGACTTACTACTTAATTAGTCTGCTAGTAGTGTCTGCTAGTACTTAATTAGTCTCCTAGTGTGATCTCTGATTTTAAATTAAGATTTTTATCTGTAATATGACCAATTTCTTATAATGAATTTCTTATAATAGAGTACCCTGTTAAATATAGTTTACAAATGAAATCGCTTTCTATTTATTCCTTCATATTTATTTGAATTGTGTGGTTTGCTGAAAGGTTGGATTCCTAGAGACTTTTCATCTGAAATGTAAATGCATTTCTGAGTACAAACATTACATTTTAAGATCACACCCTGATTTGGAGAAATTATTGATATAATCAGTCATCACTGAGGTGTTTCGATTAGGAATAGTATGTAGGATACGAATGTACGGTAGCCAGTTTTCTAATCACTGTACTGAAGGAAAAAACTATAAAGCAAAAGTCAGTAGTCATACAGTCTTAATGACAATTCAGTATGTAGTTGTAGGTACACAATACCTACACACGATTATGCACAATGTCGTCACGTTTATTTTATTCGGTTCGTATTTTATTTACTCACAAAATTATTTCACAATTGAGTAAATAATAATTAAATATGGTAATTAATTACTCACACAATTAACATTATTACTCAATATTTGCTCATTAATTTTGATGGAACTTTACCTACCAAGTAGATACCTGAGTTTCAATAGTAGGTACATTAAAGTATTTTTTGCGACTTCGTATCTAATAACAACTATCAATTTTCTTTTATATCCGACGTTGACAAAAACCGTTTTTTACCCTTTATTATCCTTATTATACGAGACGTGTGTTTGTGTGTGAGTATTAGGTATTGTTATACGATTCTCATAAGCTGCAAAAAGGCGAACACGTAGTGAACGCCAGACGCGCGACGCCGCAGGCGCAACTTTTGACAAAACAACTTTTCAATTTGTTCACTGTTAGGTACAACTTGTAATCCCTTAGGTTTAGCTAAACAAATGCCACAATAAGACTGAGTCGAAATCATTTGTTCCGAGTTTTTTATGAGTTGATACATATACAGCTAAATATTTACTTTCTTAATTAAATGCTTATTACATTCGGAAGGATTGTTTTAAATATAATTTAGTTCGTAGTTTTTACAACCATTAATTAGTTTTACCTGTCCCGTTGGCTGTCTGTTTCTTTGTAAGTAGGTAATGATATAAATTAAGAACATTTAGCACCTTGTTTTCCTCTGTCACATTGTAACACGCTTTTATTGTTATATTTGTTATTAGAGTAAATTAATTAGTAACTTTTTAGTTCATTCACAAGAATAACTTATAAAAGCTTGTTTTTTAAAAACTTTATTTAATTCTATTAAAGTAAGTAGTCTGCCAATAACGTTATTAAGCTTTATTCAGATCTAAGTTAAATAATCAGAGTACCTATTTAAGATCGATTTTAATGGATTGTAAAAAATACATTACTAAAGTAAGTATAAGTTCCTTGTTAATTTCTTGAGAAAATAATCTTGTAGTGAACAGAACGCCAATGCAGCCTTAGATAGTTAGGTGGGTACCGGAAATACAGCAGAGGTCTTTCTTTTCAGTTTAAAATCTATAACTAGCTGAAGCCGCAACTTCATCTATATTTTTCTAAAATAAAGCATATGACCCCTTAGTACATTGTATGTACCTGCCAATAAAATAAATGTCCCCGTCAAAATCGGTCCAGCTATTCCAGAGATTATCCAGTACAAACAGACAATACTAATGATAAATAATGACTAATGATATGACCACAACTGTGGCTACCGTCAGCAGCAGTGGTGTAATCACACGAGCAGTTCGCAGTAACAGCGAACGCAGTGTGTCGCGCCGGGTCGCGCTGTTGAGCGACATACCTACGCGTTTCATTATAACAGATTACAACCTACGGAGAGGGATACAAAGATTACTATTATATCAACTGTTCGGAACGTCACCGTCGTATTGTCACATCCATTAAGCTGTGCTTAGGGCGGGGCCAGGCACGCCACGCCCCGCCGCACGCCCTGCTCACCCCACACACGCCGCGCCCGACACTCGCGCCGCGACCGTTCTACTTACTAAAACGATTTGCTCGCAATCGCATCACCTGCGTATTATCCCTTCATCACACTAAAAATCGACGCCTTCTCGCTTCGATACTTATAGTTAATTCGATCGCAGTTTACGAATAATTTGAATATTTAGTTGGACCCAGTGGTAAAATTTTGAAGAAGAGAGAGAGAATTTGAGCGTCCGATATGTCGGTAATAACAATATCGAGTATAGTATAATGTGGTGCTGTGTGCGGGCTGGTGTCTCGTCGCGTGTGTTGTGCTGGGTTCGGTGAGGGTGGCGGTGGTCAGCGACGTGGCGACGCAGGGCGCGTGCGGCGGCGACGGTGGCATGGGCGGCGCGGGCGGCGGCTGGTCGCGCGAAGCGCCAGCGCTGCTGAGCACGGCGCTGCTGTTGGGCGGCGCGTTGCCCGAGCGCCCGCCCGCACCCCTCTTCACCATCGACAGCATCCTGGCGCCGCGCCCGCATCCGCCGCTGCCACCGCTGCAGCTCCAACACCTGGCGCATTCGCCGTTCCATAGAGCACATGATCTCTTTGGTACGTTTGCCAACAGTTTAGGTAAACCATTTGCCAATAAATTATTTGCTATACCTAAAGAAAAACATAGAATATTTTAACAATCGCGCTAATTTGAAATTAAAGATATTATGAACCAAACAAAAAGAAACCGAAAGTAGCTCGAGATTATGAGATTAACTATGTTAGCAATCTAAACACGATTATGTTCTAACAACAATAAAATTAAAATTATTTAGATTCCAGCTTTTATAATTTTGTATCAGTCACCCCATACATGTACTGTGATATTTAACTAGTTCATTAGTTGTACGTAGATATGATGAATCGTTACTGTAATTTAATATTCTTAGATGTTTAACTCCAAAATGAAAGGAAAATAATTTGATATAGGCATTAATCGCTCTGGATTTGGAAGTTCAATATATGCTCACAATATTTAGGCAGTCCATTCTGTATCAGAAAAGCAAAATAAATTGTCCTTTTATCGACTACTTACTAACAAAGAAGGAGTTTCTTGTAGGTACGGATGATTATTATTATTGTTTATTACGTTTAGTTAATTTAGGTATATCAACAATCAATCGGTTTTAAATCGGAAAAACATTTAAATCACACTTCTAAGAAATCCTTTGGTCAATGAAAAATATTATTTCATCGAGTTTTAATAATTTACAAGTCGGGCCAATCTCTCTCTTGTTATGACATTTCAAACATTTAAGTAACTCTTATTAAACGCATAGATGTATTAGCGAATATAATATCATTAATATACTGTAAAATATATCAATATGATACTGAATACTGCATTATAATCAAATAACAACGGAACAATCAGAGTCGCAAACTGTTCTTTGAGGTAAGATATGTTATCACCTCTGTTACTTAACCGACACATTATACACGTCCCAAACATTAAATTATCCGAAAGTTAAACTAACTGAAACTTAACCGGGGCCTTAGAATTAAACAGACAAACAAAAATAATCAAAATAATTTGGACTATTAGCCTACACGTAACATGTAATGTTTGCTACGAAAGTTCTACGGTGTAGCCGGTCGTAGCACTTGCTACAATAAGTCTTTTGTTCGGAGAATTTTTTAATTCGTAACTTTACATTCTTATTTCCTAAATATTTTTTTATGGTCAACGCATAGTTGAAATTTCATTGCAATTATTATATACATAATATTTTAATAATAAAAATTGAAATCTTCATATCAATTTCAACTGAGTCAAATATCCTCCCCAATTTGCAAAATATCAGTCTATGTTCTGAATAATATTATAACAACCTAACCTTTTAAAAGAACTATACAGAAATATGTTCATACAACACCAAATTATTGAACTAAGTTATTGCAGCGCTATAAAAATATCTCATTATAATAACAATTGAATCGGCCAATAACAATTACAATGATTCGTGACCATGAACACATCCGAATTGTATAAATGAACTTTAATTCCCTGTATAAATAAAAATTAATTTCCGTTCGTTAGTCTCGCTAAAACTCGAGAACGGCTGCACCGATTTTGCTAATTTTGGTCTTGAAATGTCTGTGGAAGTCCAGGAAAGGTTTAAACGGTGAGAAAAATATTTCAGGCGGTACGAAGTTTGTCGGGTCAGCGAGTTTCAAATAAAACAAATTTTATAAATGTATACCTGGGCTGTTGAGAAAATTTTATAATTCGGGTGATTTATCAATGAGGATTTCCCAGTTATATATCCCAGTTTCCCAGAATAACACAAAAATTAAATAGGTACCAGGAAACTCTTGAGAATGCGCGAAGAATCCGCGGAAGATACGCGTCCAATTTTTGGGTGCATATCTAATTTGTGTGTTATACAGTTTAAATAAAGTTAATTATGCTATGTACAGTTTCGTTGCAAAAAGTCGATTCCAGTTCATTCCGCATGGTGTAAATTGAGCGTTAGATTGATTTTTATTATCTCGATGGCTGGCCCGGCAAACTTCCTACCGCCGAAAATTTTTTTCTCACCTTTTAAACCTTCCGTGGACGTCCACAAACATTTGAAGACTAAAATTATCCAAATCGGTTCAGCCGTTCCCGAGTTTTAGCAAGACTAACAAACGGAAATTCTTTTTTATTTATATAGATAGACAGGTTTAAACACCATCAAAACCGATAGTGGACCATGAATCGAATGACTGCTCCCGCCTGGGTGAGGCGGGAGAGAGTGTCACTAGTGTCAGACTTTTACTGACTAAAAACCACCCCGTTCCTTCTCCTGCATGTCGAGCCGGAGCCCCGGTAACCCGTTAGGTTCTCCGCGACTCCGAATCGGCATCGGCCCTGTTGGGCCCCATCCGTAATGGTCTGATGGCTTTTTGAGGCGAGCGCGGAACGCGACGCGCCGTACGCTCGGGTCTGTTTCTGGTCGGATGGGGAGCCACCCATGCTCGCCGTCCGCAGACTCGCGCTTATGGTGGCTGGAGATCGTCCCGCGTTCCCCGACGCCCGGTGTGTCCTTCACGATGGTTGGGTTGCGAGGAGGCAGCGCTTCGCTGCCTCACGCGTCCCGCCTCCTCCTTAGCTAGCATAACTGCTTCGCAAAAGGAGGAGACGGCACCCACGTCCCCCTCGCTCCGCATCATGACCTGCACTAGGCCCGGACGCGAGAGGTCGCCAACGCCGATCATGTCCCTGAGGGCACGGTGGCCCTTACAGTGATAACACCAGGGCGTTTTCTCCCGCCCTATCAGACACAGGTACCTCCCGAAGCTCCCATGTCCGGTATTCTGCCGCCACTATACGGCTTACACCTGTACTTGCTTTAATCATTAAAGGGTTCAGGGTGTTTTGGTTCCCATGCAGATACGTTGATTATTAGCCATAGTTTCTTGTGAATTCTGTAATGTAGATATTATGGATAATTCATATTTTTTTTAACTTAAAGGATTCTGAAATATCCATGAAAACGAAAAGTTGAAACGACAAGTTCTACAAAAATGTGATGACTATAATATAAAATTAGCTAACCGAGCTTGTGTTGCAAGTCCTCCTCTTATAGGTGTTTATTTTATGCGATATGTGACATTTGAACAGTCTTATTTTATTAAATAGTTATTTTATTTTGAATTATCATACCATCTTCTGTATCGTAAAATAAATCACATCGTTTTCTATCTAGTTAATGAAATGACTTGCATGTCTCGTCTCCCGCCGCATCTCATGCACCCCTTGTTTGTTATCAATGCAGAATGTACTGAACTCAACATGTTATGTCAGGTGTCCGAGAGATATAATGATTATGATTTTCAAGTATCCAAGAGAATAATACCGAATTTCATTTAAACAAAACAAAACAGACTTAAAAAATTGTCTAGTATACATTATATAAAAATGAATTTCCGTTCGTGGGTCTAGCTAAACTAAAACTCGAAAACGGCTGAACCGATTTGGCTAATTTCAGTCATGAAATGTTCGTGGAAGTCCAAGGAAGGTTTAAAAAATGAGAGAGATAATTTTAGGCGGAACGAAGGGTTGCTGGTAAGCTAGTAATAATTAAAATTAAAATTTCAAATAGCGAGGACTTATTACGGGCTCACTGATTCCTGTGTACTAAAGCATTCACATAAACGCAAACGCGACAGAGGTTACCGTAGGCCCCAAACACAGCCTGTATCTTGAAATATAAAGTTTCGAATGTTTCTGAGAAATTGATCAGTGTGTTAGCCGTGTGGTGACGGCAGAGCGGAATACATTTAATTGTCACCTTCATACTCTTCCTGCGGGTATCGTAGGAGTTGACTAAGATACTACCTAAGTACATATTTAATAGAAATCGGGCCGCAATTTCCTTCGACAAACATAATCCTTTTAAACTGCGATTTCCAACCTGCTCGCTAAGGGGCTCTTTTGTAGAAGAGACCTGCAATGCAGCAGTGGCCTCTCGACTTGTTGATGATTAGGTACCTTCATCAACAGCGCATGATACATATCTATTTTTGGGAAATCTTCTAAATTCCACCCAGGTGAATAATTTTGGTACTGGAATAAAATGCTAACGAATTGTTCTTTTGTCGTATTTTGGATGGATTCCAGTCTGTGCTACTACTGTTGTGAATTAAATATTATCTCAACAAAACTGCCCCGGGAATAGAAGTAGTGAAGTAGCTTGTGATTATTATTAATGTTTGTAGAGTCTTTTTTATTTCCAGTCGAATAAACCTACAGTGACTAAATAAAATTAGAACGGCATTTGTAAAACCGCTGTTATATTTACATAAAGCGAAAGAAAAATACATACCTACTTATAAATAAAATATTTTATTAACATTTTTCATTGTTTTATTGTGTAGTACGTGCGGTGTGCATTGAACGCGTACTTACGTCCGCGGCGCGGCGTCTAGGTGGCACACAACCTGCTATGGATGTTTCCAAGTACTTAGCAAACTGACTTAATGTGGGTAAAAGTAAAGCATTGTAAATACTTTTGGCTGATATTTCGCTATACTTAAAGATTTAAATGCGTGAAACTACCATTAACCATTAGAAGAACAAAATGTATCATTTGAAAGTAATCTATTTATAAGCAAAAATAAAGTGAACCCATATACTCTTAAAAATATTATATCAGCTATTATAATACCAAAAAGCTTTTGTACTAAACCATTTTATACTAAAATACATCACGCTACGATGCGGAGCAGCGGGTGAAACCGCGCCGGAGTAGGTACTCGTAACTTACAATAGGAATCGATATGGCATCTAGGTAAATATAGGCTTTTATTATAGTATACAGATAGAACATTTCATTACTTATTTTTTACCTCTATTAGTCAAAAAATTCATGAAACGTACGTCCCGTTACGTACTTTAGCGGTAAAGTGCAAGATTTAGAAAATTAGAAGCGAGCCTCGGGCGATCCCTCGTACACCTACACTTCACGCCAAACCGCATGGAGGGTGAAGACGGCTTATCTCAATTAAAATCTTTTTTCCTCTTATCCAAGCGAACATTTTAAAAATTTCAAAACATCCCTAGGGTTGGGTGAATCGTTGTTACAACAAAAACAAACTTTTATTTTCTTTATTGAGTTGGAAAGTTTTATTAATTTTGTTTACACTAAATATGTAATCAAATAGCAATAGTAGCTCAAGATAGAATGTAATGAGAGTATTGATAGATGTAGATATTACAAGGCGAGTGTATTACAATATTCTAAAGGTGTGTTGAACGCGTTATTAAAAAGGGTTAAATCCTAAACCTAAACCTACTCGAGTTTAAAAATCTTGATAAATATTTTTACCAAATCTCATTTGCATTCTTAATATATTTTTATATATTATTCATTGAATGTATTAAAACCGCAGTAACGCCACCTCTCATGCGCTCTGTTTAACCCTAAACTTCTGTTTGATAATACTATTACGTACAGTGCTCGGACACTACTGTTAATTTGAATTGCTCCCTTCAAAGGGGGTGCTCCTCAAATTAATTTACAATTACGGGTTAAAACATTAATTGCTCAAATCATGTCAGTCAAGATCATCATATTAACTTGTCATTGTTTACCAGGTAAATATATACGTACATACATCGTACAATTTTGAGAAGTAATCTTAAAGGAACTAAGCTATATTTGTTAAAAGCGCTAAACGCAGCGCATTTAAAATTACGAAGTAGTTAGTATTCTAAAATAAGTATTATTCAATTACACGTAAGACAGTATTTCGTATAAAGTATAAAGAAATTTTATAAAAATGCGGTTGATGTTCTCGCTGTGCAGACAATTTATTGTATATAAAATCGATAGGGCTTAGGCGGGCGGTCGGAGGTTCGGAGCTGGGAGGTGCTGCGGTGGCGTGTGGGATACTGCCGATAGCGCCTTAGCAACGTACCGCCGCCGGCCTTAAAAGCTTTTATATTTCTTTAAGAAATAATACAGTGTAATGCCTCTCGCATTTCCGGCGCTCTGGAAAAATATTCAATTTTTATTCATGCCGCCAATATTTTGAACGGAACGCTCATGGAGTGCGGCCCGAGGGAGCTCATGGGGCACTAAGCTCAGATCTTCACGCACCGCCTACTCGAACACGTATTAACAATGATTCTTGGTGACGCTATTTGTAAATTCACACATTTTGTAGTATTAAAATTTTAAAATGTATTTTACTTGAAATTCTCAATCATAGCGCAGACAGTAATGTGTCAAAATTCTATCTCTAGTAAGCAAATCTACAGATAGATAGGTTATAGAAACTGGACGTTAGAAGTATATCGTCTTTTATTTGTCTGTAAATTATGACCATAATTATTTTAATGCAGGTGTCAGCGGTGTTGCAAGTGCAGTGTCAAACGCTGGTGGTTACGCAGGCCTTTACGGTGGGTACGCGGCTGCCGCCCTAGCAGGTCTTGCGGGCCCACCACCCAAACGCAAGCGGAGACACCGCACTATCTTTACGGAGGAGCAGTTGGAACAGCTAGAGAGCACCTTTGACAAGACACACTACCCCGACGTTGTTCTTAGAGAACAGCTCGCGTTGCGGGTCGACTTGAAAGAAGAAAGGGTCGAGGTATGTTTTACTTCTAAGCTCAAACCTTCAGAAATATAGGTACTTACCAACAACAATTAAGTACCTAATTTTTAGGTACTTAAAAATACTTTAAAGTATTTAACGTATTTTAGGGTATTTAAAATACCTTAAATATTTAATTTAATTTTTTAGTAGATTTTTTTTTAAAGAGATAAAATGTTGAAAAAAATTGAACTAGCAATGAAAAATATAATAGAACAAAAAAGAAAAAATAGAAAACAGCAAAACAAACATTTGGACCGACGATTGAATTTGGTAGTCCTGCGTTGCAGGCGTCCGCTCGCCTACTTAGCTATTTAACTTTATACGAAATGGCGACATTTTGCTTCGTATTCTAATAAGAATTTTTAATCAACGGAAACACGGACAAAACGATATTTTCTGAAAATGAAAACTAGCTAGATCGATTTATTGTCCCCGAAATACATACGTATATCGTATTCCAGGTCTCAAATTATCGTTTTACCAAATGTAATTCGAAAAGATTCAATTATTCTAGATTCAATGGCTAAGAAGATTTATACAAACTCTCATCATCTAATCTATCCCCTTATGGGTGGAATTTATCAAAACCTTTCTTAGGAGATACCTACGTCATAGCAGCTTTATGCATGCAATGTCTCACCTCGATCAGTTTAAAATTGACAGAGTTTCATACAAACTTTCATCCCCTATTTTTTTCCTTTGGGGGCAGAATTGATCAAAATCTATTCTTAATGAACGCTTACGTTAATATCTACTTGCATGTCGAATTTCAACCCGATCGGTGAAAAACTGACAAAGACCTATACAAACTGATATCCCCTATTTTACCCCCTTGGGGGTAGAAATGAACAAAATCCTTTCTTAGCGGATGCCTTCGTCATAACATCTACCTGCATGCCAAATTTCAGCCCGATCCGTACCGTGGTTTGGGCTGTGCGTTTTTAGATTACTATGTCAGTCAGTCAGTCACTTTTGAATTATTTACCTGTATTATAGATTCAGATTCATTATATAGCCCAGACGGATTATTATTATAATATTTTTGTATTGATTCACTATTTACACACAATTCATGAAAACAAAGTTAAATATGAAATCTCCTTAGTTCATAATGCCAACAGAAAAACGTACTTTCTTTCCTTAGTTCCTTTGTTATGTAAGGTTTCACGTAAAATGTTAAGTAATAAAGTGAAACATTTTTGTACCGGTAGTAACTACGTGTATAACATTTTTCCTTTTGAGTTTTTCGGAAAAACTAATCCGTCATTTACCTACTTAACAACTTTTGTATTTTGAAGTAAGGAATCGAAGCAATCTTTGTAATAAGCCTAAGTTATTTTTTTTATTCTAAATTCGCCAAACATTAGTCAAACAATGAAATCGTGTTTCATTCTTACTGTTTACTAGAAGTAGTAAGTAAGAATGTAGGAAAGTAAGTAGTAGTAAGTAGTGTCTTGTGTAATTACAAACTTTTAGGTTCAAAGTTAAAATCAGGTAATTCATTAGATATCATAATTCACATAGAAAATATTATTAAGTTTAACATGTGTGGTAAAAGAGTTCAAATGACTGATCTGCATAATAAAACATTTTGAATGAGACCCTGCGCGAAGGGAACATTCACAAGGTGGCAGGCACCTTTTTTATAACGGATAAACACATTTTTATACGGTTTTTATTAATGTGATGTACCTTTTAAGGGCCTTATTTTACTTAATTGAAGACGACAATGATTCAAAGGAACCATACTGTTATAAGACGTCTGAATTAAGAATCTAAATAATTTTACTTGAACACATTGATTAAAGTGTCTTTCAATGAGAAAGGCAGACAGTCACATTAAGATACTTGACCATATACATGCTGCAACGATATACATCAAATGATATCGTTGAAGTAGAACAAATACGAATAATTTCCCTCGGCTTTTTAGGTAATTTATACTTTTTCATAACTACTTACATTCCTTTTGCGTTTAAATGCAATATTGAAAGATCGCTAAAGCAATTATTTTAATATTATTTAACATTTATAAACGTGTCGTCATCAACTGACAACATAAATAGATTCTATCAAATCCTTTGCTTGAATAAAAAAATCTGGTATTCGGCGCCCGTGGCCCGTGAGCCTGGTATGTGAGAAGTGATAAGATTAACGGGGCGTAACGTTTAGTAGTAGCGAAGGGCCAGCGTGTAAACAATGGTGACGCGACATATTCTACGACACCACCAATGTGGGTGGTCGCCATCGCCAGTTATGAAACATGTCAAGAACTCATGATGGTTTCTCTAGAGCTTTCTTTGACTATGACTACGTTTCGATTGTTTAATACCTTTTCAGAATTAGTCTATTTATAAATCGTATTTTTTATAAAAAAATGTATAAAACAATAATGGTGCGTTCGGGTTTCAAGGATAGGATTCAGCATCTAAGAGGCCTGCTATTGTTATTCCTAAATCACTTCCTGACTTGTTATCTTATCTAGTGTATTCTTTCAATTATGTCACACGATTAGCCCGAGCGTCTGTATGGATACTAGTAGACAGAATGCTCTCGATAGAATTTATGGTGTTGAAAGTAAGTCGGGATATGTTTGTGGGCTGCCGGCCACCGGCTACCGGTGTTGCAGCATTGTGTGCCGACCACTTGACAGCGTGCCACCCAGCCGGACGGCACTGTTTACTCAAGTAACCACTCATCCGGCCACGGCTGCGCAAATCCAAATGACATTCTGTACTTCTTAACTTTCGAAGGTCTAATGAAATTCATCATGAAGTGTTAGCATTCATCATCGACATTATGTCCATATGTGTGACACGGATAATATAACGCATTTACTTACAAGTTCTTTTACTGGATAACACACAATCAATAGTTATTTGCTTCAGTTGCTTGTAATAATACTGTTGGCTACCTTATTGTACACATTTACGGTGATGTTTAAGAAAATATTAATGAAGTTTTCTAGTTGATTATTTATGCATTTTTATATTACACAGTGTACAGCGGACCATATCCAAGACTCTGTATTCCACAGAAACGGTCGCAATTGTTATTTTCTTAAATATAATAAGTATCGATAATTCGATATACGTTATTGGATTACAAGCTTCTAATACTTATTCTTATAAGGCAAATAAATAAATCTTTATCATTATAATATATTGGTCATGGTACAAATAAACATCTTAATTTAAAATCATAGATCTCACTAATATTAAATTCCTGTGCTAAGAAGAACATCCTGTGTCACAGGCGAAAGGAGCACTAACTATAATACTAATTCTATAGGGCAAGTTATTTAGTTATATATAAACAGATTTCTTAACATAAATAATCTGTCAAAAGTAAAGTAAAGTTGACTATTTAATATACATACCTACATAAATACACACGTTCACAACTACTTAAAATGATAGGTACCTAAATATTAATATTATCGCACTTAAATACAAAACATCGATAGATATACATACATATAAAACATTGTAGGAACTATTGTACCGAAGAATTTGATAGATTAACAGAAACATAATCTAGGTGACAGTCCAAACGTTCATTTACTCTAGTGTTACAATAAAATATGCTTGAACAGCAACAAATTGTTGAGGACGCCAACCTGTTACGATGTTAATTATTGTGCAAGGAAAGGCTACTTAACTCTGTAATATAAGAGTATTTTACACTTTACGCGTGCTCACAATCGATAGAGTTGATGTACCTATGTATATTCAGCTGTTTTCCTAGCCGGACAGTCAGCGTCTATTATGTTTATTGGGTTTGTTGTAACGAGAGCATGTAGCACATTTAGGGGATTCCGAATTTTGAGTGCACGAGGATTGTACATGTCTTGCTTCTCCGCAATAGACACACGATGAGTTGATCTCTCTGCATGCGGCCGCCGGAATACGGAGTTGGCAATTGTAGGATCGCGTTACAAGCGTAAAGTCTCTGATGGGACAAGAAGTCCAATTGAATTCTCTCTTGAGATTTATAAACTCAAGAGAGCTTTACGTATTACGTAAGATAAGGGCTTTACGCCTGGAACTTCGACGATGAAATTGTAGGTCGCCGCATCCTTTCTTCCCGATTTGTGACTTAATTTGACTGATGATAAAAAAGACTCCATTGTCATCTCCGGGAGCTCGTCAGATACGTTCTGCTCATAAATATAAGTACCTGAAGAGGACAGCATCAGTCATTGACCACGGCACTCCTATAACTGCAATTCGTGGTTTGCGCTTGTTGGGTTCGTCTGCGAGAAACCCGGACAACGACAGGCCAACTGCTAGCTTCACTTTTTCAACATCCTCTTTCGACTCAGTGCTGATTATTACACCTTCGTTTTGTGTCTTGCGGACTCCACGCACGCGCAGCTTTATTTCACTAGGTCTTATAAGTGTTTGCACCATAGTTTTGGTTTCCTCGCTAGTTTTCAGTTCATTGGTCGGATACACAGCGACAGAGGCCAGAGGCCTTTTGTTTGGTCGAAAGAAATCGGATCCTTTTCTCACCATGTCCACAAAAGACACATTCTTGATTGTAGTTTTGTTGAGAGATTTTTTAATCTCGTCAATTTGTTCCGATAGGTCACAGATTTCTCTCAATTCATCCATTATGTTGACGCCTAGATGAGCTTGCTGCTTCAGAGCTTGATAAAAGACAACCATTTGCCATCAGCTCCAATTTTACGGCTTAGGTTTGATATTCTAAGCTTTTGCTCCGAATTGAGTTTGTCCTCCGTTGCAATGATACATAGGTACTTCATTTAACTGTTGCTCAATGCTGGCCATCAAGTTCTGAATGTCGGGCGTGGACACATCTTCTATAGAGAAGTCATATTTACGGCTGCTTTCTATTGGTGAGGCACATGAAGCCAGATTGCTCGGGATTTTATCCATTTTTATTCAAATATGATTATGTTTCCATTATAAAATACTAAATTTCAAACTAAGCAAAAATAATTTAGTAGGTCACTCTTGCGTTAATTCAAC